TTGTGACAAATGAATCAAACGATTGCAACGTCAACATCAATACATATCAAGTAACCTTTTACGTTTCTTGATATTTATTTCGAAATATTTATTCGTTATTTCGTAAAAAAATTTTGTAGATTCTTTCGTTCAAGCATGATTTTAACAAGGATTAATAATTAATAATTTTCTTAAGCTAGATTTACGTTAAATTAAGGTTAAATTAGGTTAAGTTAACTCAATAAACAATTGATAAAATTTTTGATAATTTTTTTATTTATATTACGATAAGTTAAGTTGGATTTATATTATCTTATAAATAATTATATATAATATTCAAATATTATATAAATATATAATCAATTTATTTTTATTCGTGAGAATCATAAACTCATCTCGCGATTAAGGCAATTTCGTTTAATTCCTTTTCCAAAAAATTTTTTTAATCTTAAAAAAAACTTTTAAAAAATTTTTTTAATAACAATCGTTCACTCTTTAAATGATTATTTCATTATAAAAACTTGCGATTTGATTTTACAATAAAAGCTATGATGAATCCTTTGCATCCACGATTTGCATTTAAAGTGATTTTTATTTATGAGACCACCTAATATTACAATGCAAATTATAAGTCAAGTTACTCTTACTAACCGTTTACTTTATCTAATTAGCATTTGGTCCACGAGTGATTTTGAATGGCAGAATATAATTTATTTAATCTATCTTGAGAGTTGCTCAACGCGGCTTAACGATTAACAACAATTTTGCAGCTTAGGCAACATGCAATAAAACATAGTAATAAATCATTTATAGATCGGTAATTTTTAACTTCATAATACAGCAATTTCAGAGATTGTAACAAGACAGAAAAATCGACATGCACAACAATTTGTATGTAGATACATATATTTTTCAAATTATTTATAAAACATTGTTGCATATCAACTTTTGTGTTTGTTCTGATGGTCGTGTAAAAACCACTCCTTAAATTTTCTACATTCCTCATTTGAATATATCAAATGATTATTATTATACAGTTATTATACATCCATTTTTTAATCCATTTTTTTTCAATTAGAAAAAATTTAAAGATTCATTTTGATTTTCATTCATGGAAATGAAATGACAATTTTTTGATATTATTTCTCAACTAAATTTATAAATCTTGATGAAAATTTAATTACAGCACGATTACTAATTGTATAAAAAAAAAACATTTATTAAAATTGCAAAGATCAAAATTTGAAAGAGAAAAAGAATTGGTCGATAAATTTCGCATTTCTCGGATATATCAAATTCAAATTTGAATATTAAATGAAACAACTCGGCCGAAAGGAAAAACAAAATCAAGCAAAACAAGATTAGCAAGAATTTATTTTTTTTCTCAAAGATCAAAATTCCAAAAGGCAATCTTGGATCGATATATCAGTTTCTCGGATATAATAATAATAAATTTTGCCGGATTTGAAAATGTTTATTTAACAATGGAGATGGTGAATCGCGGTGTTAATTCGATCTTTTAAAAAAAGGATCGAGAAAAGATTATGCAAATGTGTATCCTTCCATTCTTGAAACACGTGTTTAGATATCGCGAATTTAATTATTATAGATGATGTTTTCTTTCTTCTTCTTCTTCTTCTTCTTCTTCTTCTTCTTCTTCTTTATCTTTTTCTTTTTCTTTTTCTTTTTCTTTAAATCGTGAAGTTAGATTTTAAAGGGGCTCAGAGAAAAACGGAGTGGCACGTTAACGATCCCGTTCACCTTGGTTCGCTACTAGCTGAGAGATATTTACGCCCCTTTCAAAAAGCACCGTCCCAACCAAGGCTGCATCCCCCATTCGTTCACGAATCTTTATGTTCCTTGTTCCTCGATCCTTGGAACCTTGAACAATTTTTTCTTTTGCGAAGAGGATGCCCACCTTCCACGTGCTCATCCCAAATCCTTTCAATGATATTTTCGGTGTTTCGATAATTTGTTAAAATATAATTTGTTAAAAAACAAACAAAAAAAATTGATATTAAGAAGAAGAAGAATTTAATTAAATAAATCATGCTTTATTATTGTATATATATCAAGTCATAATTTATTAAACAACTTGTATTTGTCCAAAAATACGTGGATTAAGAATTTATTTATTT